TTAGGTTCAAATTTGTTTGATACTTTAATTGGACTTAAAATGCTATTACTTGAACCAATAAGTCTTACAAGCGGTTGCATTTAGAGGCCACAGTAAGAAGTTAGATTCTATTAACGGGGGAAATTTTCTTGAAATATTGGAGGCACTTGATTAGCGATGTTTGTCATTTTCATATTTGACGTATAGTTTTAGAGTTTTACTACGTTTTAACTTTGGATAATCTAATTTTTGTATTTTTGAAAATATATAACGTTGTGGAAAACTTGTGTGCCGCCCCTGTGTGTGTATGGTAATTGATACCAATATATAACTTGGGACCAACGTACGTATTACTTTATAGTTCAACTTCTCTCTTTCTATATGGCTTCAATGTTCTTATTTCTTTGTTCAATTTTTCATTACAAAAATCTTGTTGCTGCAACTAGAGGTTTCAACGTTTGCAAGCTATTATGTTCATCAAAGTCTACGTCAATGGCCGTCTCTATGGCGGAACCCCTCGGTTTGACGATCAGCAAACTATAAGCCATCACTGTCATTTGATCATCGTTAATCACTATGTAGTAAATACACTGTACGATTACCATGCATCTTTCCCTTTACATGTTTCATTCATACAATTCTTAATTGTTGATCAAATCTTCTGCACATATTCATGAATATATATATATATATATATATATAACTTAATTACACATGCAGGAAGAAGATTACGAGGCAAGAGCATATAGTTCGAAGAAAGCAGTGAAGACGATGATACAGAAAGTAACGGGCAATACATAAAACAGCCTTGCACTGGTTAACAATTTGCAGAGACTCGAAATATCGTATCATTTTGAGGAAGAAATAAATCAAGTCTTGGAGCTGATTTACGATGATCACTTCAAAACTTAGGAGCAGTGGAATGGAATGGATATGAACCTTAGGGCCCTTGGCTTTCGACTACTCAGACAACATGGTTATCTTGTTCCTCAAGGTATAAACTTGATTAATATTCAAGGATCTTTTATCACATCTTATGTTACTGTAAAACACAAATTTATATTTTTCTTTATTTGATATTGACCGCGCCATATATACTTAGAGATTTTTCACGACTTTAAGCACAAGACTGAACATGTTAAAGGGGATATTGATGTGGTGGGAATGCTGAACCTGTACGAGGCTTCTTATCATTCATTCGAGGATGAAAGCATCTTGGATGATGTTAGAGACTTCACCACC